AGCCTGAGTTCTAGTGTTGAATTATTTTTATCAGATGACTAGGTTTGCACGGGGATGTAACCAAATATTTGAAAACAAATATTTCTATAAAGTTATGTGTATTTAAGGTCTACATTGGTTTCATTTTGGAGAAAATATGTTTTGTGTTCTTTCCATAGCTTTGATTTGAATGCATTCTTTTTATCTTTGTGAAATGATGCTGTGAGTCAGAAATCTATGTCAGTGGAGCATTTAGGTACCACTACTGTAATACACAACTTAGCACTAGAACCGACGCTTAACAAAGTGTCCCGTTCTTAACCCTGAAACTGTTTTCTTTGTCTGTTTGCTTGTTTTGGTGAGACAGAGTCTCTTGGTGCCCTAGGCATCGTAGCTCTCAGCAACCTCAAACTCTTGGGCTCAAGACATCCTCTTGCCTCAACCTCCCAAGTAACTGGGACTGTAGGTACCCACCATGATACTGTATAATTTTTTTTTTTCATTTTCAGTAGAGATGGAATCTTGCTCTTGCTCATGCTGTTTTTGAACTCCTGAGCTCAAGCGATCTACATGCTTCACCCTCCCAAAGTGCTGGGGTTACATGCGTGAACCACTGTGCCCGACCCAGCACTGTCTTTTCACAATAAGCCCAGAGACCTTATCTTTTAAATCATACATGTCTTTGTCCCATAAAAATTTCCCAAGACAGTGCCATCTACAGAGGAGGTGCTCAGCAAATATTTGTTGAATGGATGAATAGAAACTCAGAGCCATATTTGAAAATAAATAAATTTTCAAAATTATAAGTTTGCTATAAAGTGGATTGTAGACAAAGAAGCATATCCTAGTTGGTGGAACTTTTATTGCCTATATTACGTAATGAATGGCTCTTGGCTTTTAAAAAATGTGTTCAGTCAAGTGGGAGGAGTTGTATTATTCAGTTTGAACAGTAGCTATAAAAATTTCTCAAAATCCTTAGCAATAGCTGACCTGAGAAAATACAAGGAAAGAAAAAAGAAGAGAAAGGTTTGAAACCAGATTGTAAAGTATTTAGTAGGGGCACATTTTTCCATATATACATGTAACATAGAATTAATGTGCATAATAACTGTTAGTGGTTAATGCTACACTTTCCACATGAGCTGGAAAGGAACATCTCTCCATGGGAAGTCACAATGTATAAGACCTTGATCTCTCCAAAGTAGGAAAGACTCCAATTGGAACAGGGGTCACAGAAAAATTGGGGGCATTGTCTGGTACATGATTATTAATTTGCTCCTTAAAAGGGTTCTCTGCTTCCTGTTTCCCAGTCTTCTTCACAGCTCTAAAGTAGGCCTAAAGAATTTACAGGACGTCTTAACTACAGACCCAGAACCAGTGGTTCCCAGCCAGAACTGAGAGCAGGACAGGGGAACTACTCTAAGGAGACAGCAGTAAGGACTTTTGAATGTATGAGAGTTTGATCAGCTAAGGGAGATACCCTGGCCAGCCCAAAACTCTTTAAGACAATATCACTGTATCAGCTTAAGAATAAAATAGAATTTTTTAGTTTTTTAAGGCACAGAGAGTAACAATTCCTGCACATTTTTCTCCAAGGGGGAAAAGTCCTTTCTTGAACAATTGGGTGTTCTAATGGGGCACTATGTGCTGACTGCTGTCAAAGGCCGATTTACATTATGAAGTTACTCTTTAGGCCAGGTGAGGTGGCTCACACCTGTAATCCCAGCACTCTGGAAAGCTGAGGTGCACGGATTGCTTGAGCTCAGGAGTTCAAGAGCAGCCTGAGCCAGAGTCAGACACTGGACATTGTGGTGGGCATCTGTAATCCCAACTACTTGGTAGGCTGAAGCAAGAGGATCACTTGAGAGTTTAAGGTTGCTGTGAGCTATGATGCCATAGTACTTTACTGAGGGTGACCAAGTGAGACTTTGTCTCAAAAAATCAATCAATCAATCAATCAAGTTATTCTTTAAAAAGTAGTTTGTGTCCAACTTAATCCACACATCTAAATTATCAAAGTTATAAATTTGCTTTTACAGGATAGTTGTTAAACTGCAGACTCTGGAGCTAGTTTTCTTGCTTGAGTTTAAATTCTCACTGTACCGCTAATTTGTGTGACCTCAGACAAGTCACTAACACCCTCTGTGCCTCCATTTCATTAGCTGTACAACGGGGATAAAAATATAACCTTACATAATTGTGACAAGTAAATAACTTAATACAGGCCATAGATTTGAGCAGGGCCTACAACATCTTAGATGCTTTATGATTGATAGTTTCTATCTTTAAAGCTGTTGTTTACATTTTTTATTTTAAATTATTATGGCCACATAATGGTTGCATATCTTTAATAGGATTTTTTTAGAGTTTAACTCTAAACACTAAAAAATAACATAAACTAAAGATGTCCTTGGTTTGTACATAATAGATATCAACACCTTATAAAGTTGATAATTAGGACAACTATTTAATTTTGTTATTTTTATCATTATTTATAAAAATTTCATATTGAAATTAGTGATAATATAATATGCTGTCAATGCACAGAGTGGTTTCTTGCTTTTCAGCTTATTCTGGTCACAGTATATAAACTACATGGTGTGAAAAATGTTTATTTTTGAGTGTTGTATAGACAGAATTTAAACATATCAAAGTAAGGATTTATTTGGAACTTAATTGGGCTGTATGGCCATAACACAGACAGTGATTAGTATCTGTTACTTTGAGAACTTAACTTGTTTTTGTTTACAATGAACTTGTGTGTTATTTCTTTGTTAATCCGAATATGAAAATAACTTTATTGTCCCAACTTCTAACCTATTCTTTTCCTGCTTAGAATTATTAAATGATAAATGATAAACATTCTCAAAATATCACATTTACTCAAAATACAGGGTGTCCATAAAGTTCGTGTGCGATTTAAAATTGCACACAAACTTGATGGCGACTGTGTATATTATTCAATGCTGAGTCAGAAATCCCAAAATATTTTAGAAGAGAATCATAATTTGGTATTTTCTTTAGACTAATCACAAAATTTTTCTTGCTACAATTAATTACTTAAATTTTACTGGGTATTCTTTGTTAAAAACTGGACATAATCTTCTGAGTTGCGTGATAGCACTATTAATTCTTTCCCCTTTAGTAATCACTTTGTTCTGAATAGCAGGAGGTGAGCAGCGTGTGAGCAAGCAGAGCTTCACCTGGATTTACAGCTGCTCCCCTCGCTTGCATCACCACCCCAGTTCTGCCTCTTATCAGATCAATGGTGACATTAGATCCCCATAGGCCAACCCTACTGTAAACTGCACAGGAGAAGGATCCAGGTTGTGTGCTCCTTCTGAGACTCTAGTCCCTGATAATCAGGAAACAGCTATAAATACAGATTCTCCTTAGCAGAGAGGTTTGCCTGCACAGAGAGTATAATAAAAATTAATTGCAGACTCATATCAAAACCATCCCCCACTCCACCCCTACTCCATGGAAAAATTGTCTTCCATGAAACTGATCCCTGGTGCCAAAAAGATTGGGGACCACCACTCTGTAACATAGAGAAAGGTACTATCAGGCTTAATTGGGGGGGGGGTGTATTTATGTGTGTATACATACAACCAGGATATATTTGTGTAAATACCTGTGTTTGATAACTTCTTTTTTTTAAGGCAGAGTTTCAAGCTATTGCCCTGGGTAGAGTTGCTGTGCCCTGTGGCATCACAGCTCACAGCAACCTCCAACTCTTGGGCTTAAACAATTCTCTTGCCTCAGCCTCCCAAGTAGCTGGGACTACAGCCTCCCACCACGATGCCTTTTTTTTGTTGCAGTTGTCATTGTTATTTAGCAGGCCCGGGCCAGGCTCCAACTTGCCAGCCTCGGTGTATGTGGCCGGCACCCTGTTCACTGGGCACTGAGCCTGCTTTTTAATAACTGTACTGCTAAAACCTAGTCCAGAAAATCATCATCTTGCTCTTAGACTTTCTGCCTCTACTTTTTCCTTCTTCACAGTTCATTTCTTAGAAGCCAGATATATCTAAAGCATAAATTAGATTCTCTCTCTCCTTTGATAAAAACTTTCTAATGGCTTCCTGTTAAAATTAGAACAAAATGCAAATGCCTCATAATGGCCGGTGAGGGTTTGCCTTCCTCCTCAACTTCCCTTGCCTATTTTTGGACCTCTCCTTCCCACCAGCAGCAGCTACCAACTCCACCACCCTCAGCATGCAACCACATTCACCTTATTGCTGTGTTTGTACTTCTGTGCACTCTTCCTGAAGTACTTCCCTTTAGATCTCTGATTGCTTGTTTTGATAATTGATGTCTTTATTCAAAGGTCACTTCCTTTTGGTAGCCTATCTTAAACACTCTAAACTAAAATAGACCACCCCTCTTCCAAGTCCTCTTCCCTAACCCCATTATAGTGTTATTCACAGTGTTTCCTACTCTCTGGTGTTATATTAGTTACATATCCATGTCTGTGTTCTTTGTTTATTACTGTATCCTTACAATCCTCACATATGTCTGGCACACAGTCATCATCATAAATTTATTTTTCATGGAAAAATGACAGTTTCCCATATTGAACTATTGTTGGCAATATAATTTTAATATCATCCCACCATACCTACATACACGTCCTTGATCCTACCTCAGTCTTAAAGTTCCGGCAAAAATAGTCTTATTCTGCCTCCTCTGATTTATTTCCTCTTTGAGTATTATCTCAACTCCAGCAGTTATAACTGTGGTTCTATTATGGCTAACTTCTAAAATAAATTAAAACAGCCTCTGTTTTCTTAGATGGCAATTTGCACTTTCTAGAGAACACTAGGGAATAAAAAGGACATTCAGATACTTCTATGGTTTTTTTTTCCTTGCTTTGAATCTTCTATTGCTTATGTAATCTCAATGTCAAACGGCTTGTCTTATTAGGGGCAAAGTAAAATGTAGAAAGGGTATTAGTGTTAAACCGTCTTTATGAGTTTACAAAGGTGATGACAGAAATATAATGTGCTTTGTTTTTCTTTCAGATCTCCAACTAAACACATGGATTCGGAAGAGAAGGAAATTGTGGTTTGGGTTTGCCAAGAAGAGAAGATTGTCTGTGGGTTGACGAAACGCACCACCTCTGCGGACGTCATCCAGGCTCTGCTGGAGGAACACGAGACTACATTTGGGGAGAAACGATTTCTGCTGGGGAAGCCCAGTGATTACTGTATCATAGAGAAGTGGAGAGGCTCCGAACGTGTTCTTCCTCCACTCACGAAAATCTTGAAGCTTTGGAAGGCGTGGGGGGAGGAGCAGCCCAACATGCAGTTCGTGCTGGTGAAGGCCGACGCCCTCCTCCCCGTGCCTTTGTGGCGGACGGCTGAAACCAAATCGGTGCAAAACCCAGAAGCGCCGTGGGAGCTCAGCCCGGCCAATTACATGAAGACACTGCCACCAGATAAACAGAAAAGAATAGTCAGAAAAACCTTCCGGAAGCTGGCTAAAATCAAACAGGACACGGTTTCCCACGACCGAGATAACATGGAGACCTTAGTCCATCTGATCATTTCCCAGGATCACACTATTCATCAGCAAGTCCAGAGAATGAAAGAGCTGGATATGGAAATTGAAAAGTGTGAGGCTAAGTTCCACCTTGATCGGGTGGAAAACGATGGAGAAAATTACGTTCAGGATGCATATTTAAAGCCCGGCGTCAGTGAACCCGAGCAGAGGCTGGACCCGCAGTCTGAGGAAGGCCTGATCCTGGAGGACCTAAGTGAAAGCGATGGGATCGTCCAGCTGGAGGAGAGACTGAAATATTACCGAATGCTCATCGATAAACTCTCCGCTGAAATAGAAAAAGAGGTAAAGAGTGTTTGCCTGGAAATAAATGAAGATGCAGAAGGGGCAGCTTCAAGTGAACTGGAAAGCTCTAATTTAGACAGCATTAAGTGTGATTTGGAGAAAAGCATGAAAACTGGTTTGAAAATCCACTCTCATTTGAGTGGCGTCCAGAAGGAGATTAAATACAGTGACTCATTACTTCAGATGAAAGCCAAAGAGTATGAACTCCTGATGAAGGAGTTCAACTCACTTCACATTAGCAACAAAGACGGATCCCAGCTAAAGGAACACAGAGGGAAGGAAGCCCAGGTTTCCAGCCCCAGCGGAGACGTTCCTGCCTTTGCTAAAAGAGTAGCCAACACGTATACCAATGACACAGACTCGGATACGGGAATCAGCTCTAACCACAGTCAGGACTCTGAGACAGCGGGAGGCGATGTGATACTGTCGTCAGCATAATATAAATAGCTTCTTTTCGACCTGCTTTAATGTTGTTCTTTTTTTTTTAATTTAATAGAAAACTTTATTATAAATGTGACTTTTTGAAAAAAAATGTAATCATGTTACAGTATTCAGGAGTTCATAAAAATTAGAGAAACTAGCTTTTCATGTTTGATAGGAGGTTTCTGGTGAGACTTTAATCATTGAAAGTGCAAACAGTTCATGGACTATTGATCAGAAATGTAGGAAGTAGTGATATGGGTACGACACAAATTTTTGTTGAGAATCATATTATAATCTTTCACAGCTTCTATGGAGAATGGCTTACATAAACTTAGAATTCTAATATTAGATGAGCAAAATATTCACACCAGACTTGAAGAAGTAAAATTAAAAATGTTATCTTTTTTTCAACACTATATGATTCGGAGTTTTAAATCTGTAACATCTATGACTTCAACTACTGCCTTGTAACGGCATGAATCCAAATCTCAGTTCTTTCATTGATCCTTTCATTGTAGAAAATATTATTTTGTGACGTCTTGAATCCTTCTCTCTGTTTAGGCCCATGTGAAGTGGCTGCTGTTGGGACATGTTTAAATACTGACAGGGAATCAGAGGTATAGATGGGGCAGGGCCAAGTGCTTCAGAGAAAGCAGTAATTTTTCTAAAGACTAAAGGTACCAAGAGCTGGGCATGAGCTTTGCTGTTGGGCAATGCAGATCTTCTGATCAAACCAGGATTCTGTGCCAGTTCATTCTTTGAGTGAGGGACAGTGTGGGTTACAGAAAAAAAAAAAAAAATCAGTTTTGTTTATGCTTCATCTACAAAAGTTGTAGTAATGAGTTTGGAGTCCTTTGTGTGCATTAAGTAGAGTTCCGTATGCCATAATTATTAGCATTTTATCTGAATCAACACAGGGGAACTCCCATGGACAAAAGTCTTTGGTTTTTCTATACAGTAATTCAGATCGGCTTTTCAGTACTTCATTTAAGGTGCTTTAAAAAGTACTAGAACCACCTTGAGCATAATAGTAAAAATCCCAAGAAATTGAATGAACCATTTAGGTCCCATCGTGACTGACAGGTGTGATAGTGCCAGACAGTGCTTGGTTTTGCTTGGCTTTTCATTCGGAATTTCCTTTCTCCTTCTTCTTCTTTCCTTTCTTTCTTCCTATCTGCCTTTCTTGTCTTTTTTTCCTACCTGTATGCCTTCCGTTTCTCCTCCCTCCTTTTCTTCTTTCCTTGTTTCCTGCCCGTGAACGTGTGCAATCATAGTGAAACAATTTCATACTATTATTGTTCTAATAGCTGAACATTTCTAAGTTAATCTTTTCTTTCGGTGACACCTTTTCTGTGTGCCAGTGCACGTGTAAGTTGAAATATTATTTTACTTAGTTTCTATACGTGGATACTGGTTATGATTCCCAGTATTTCTCATGCCTTTTATTCCTGGGCATAGTGTAGTGCAGGTTTTAACAGCATTGTTTTTCTTTTTGATATTCAAAATTTGAAAAGTGTGTAATTTTTGTGAAACAACTTGTGAACTCAGCTTTCTGACCTGCATTAAACTTTCATAATGTGTTATTTCATTCCTCCCTTCTTTTCATCCATTTTTGTAAAGATATTTAGAATTTCCTGAGTGTTTCACTTTTCAGGGAGAAATTATGTTTTCATTTATTTTACCAAGGTATTTAGCGGCCATATTGGAATTTGGCTAGTAAGAAATAGGAATTTTATGGTTGAAAGCACAGTGACAAAGAGTTATACTGCTAACATGGAGATATAAAGAGAAATAATGCTAACATAGCTTATATTTCTTAAAAAAGAAGGAATTTAATCTGTGAAAGTTAAATCCACCTGCCTGATGGCCCACAAAATTTTTTAACAATGTATTAAGCTATTGATATATTCATTGTTCACTAATGGGGATTAAATTCAGAAGATTGCAATAAATGTAAAGTAATTCTACTGTGTCTTTCTAAAGTAAAAGTCATCTTTTTTGATTACTCTTATCTTTAGAAGGAAAATAATAAAAAGAACTGCTTATCCAGTTGACTAATGAGCTGAATTTAAAACAAGTTCTGATAAGGAGTAAGACCAGAGAGATAATTTCATTTTAGAAATTTTGAATTAAGTTCTGCTTTTGGACAGTTAAATATAGTCAGATATTTCAAGGGCCAATTCTTCTGAACCAGAGAGTAAATAATGTTTTCATGATTCCTGATAGAAAGCCAGACCACTGATTTTTAAATTTATTCTGGAATTTCTACTTCCTATTTAGTTATACAAAGAAATGTATTTATGCTTTTGATAGTTACGATCTTTACACTTTAATCATTCATGGTAAATCTCTGAGCGTTACAGGTTAATACCAATAGAAATAATAAAATATAATGCCTGCATGTCTGTACACTGAGCTGTTTGTTATTAAATCGAGAATTAGACTTCAAAGAAAGTTTGTTTTCACTACCTACAGAAACTTTTGACGTACATATAAATTCTTGTGCAACCTGACAGATTAAGTATGAAACTGCCTGTTTATGCAGCTAGAAGAAGCGACCAAAGCTGTTCTTTATTTCCATAATAACAAGTGGGGACACCCTTATTCATCCTCCCACCTGGAATTCCTCCTTCTCTCTTCTTCCATATACTGAAACTGTACACGAACCTCTTCTATACACAAAAACCTTTTCCCATGGTCTTTTTAATGTGCTAGTTCTTATACAACAGACTGCTCTGTTCAATCAGTTGTAGTCTTCTATCTCTAAACTCACAAATATTTTAGGTGTACTTCTCATAGAGAAGCATTTATATTCTGGTGTAGGTCCTATTTATTTATGTACTCATCTAACTCCCCTATCTCAATGGATTCTGGCTTTATCAACTATTTTATTAACTGTATTCATTTCTATCAACTTATGTGCCCCCTCTAGTCAATTTTTTAATTGAATTACTAAATTTTAGAGGTGTATAATTTTGTGTGTGTATTTTTATGCGTGTAAATGATGTGTGTGCCTTTTATATATGAATTTGCATGTTGCAGACTTAAAACATTATCAGTGATTGTTTTGGGGAGGCACTAATCTTCATGTTACCATAAATTTTTTTCATGTGACACAATTTTTAGTTTTGTTTGTAACTCACAGAATTACTGATTTAAAGCAATGCAAATACTATATTAGCCAATTTGATGGATACATTCTCTGCATTATTTGCTTATAAGCAAAAGTATATTTTAGAGGTGAGTTTTAAGTAGTAGATTCACAAAATATCTATTTTATTTTTCTTCTTCAGTCAAATAAGAAATGGCCCCTTATTAGTGTGTAGCAGCGAATCTGATCCATTAAAATTTTATTTTTATATTTATTTAGACATCTATATGTGACAGAATGTATCTCTGTGGCTGCATTTTATAATTTTCAAAGTAAGATTATTGTTTAAAAGCATTTTTCTAGTGGCAAATACCTTTTAATTATAACATAGAGTTCTTAAATATTAAAAATATTTTTCATCCTTCCTTTGTTTAATAAACCTGAGGTGACAAATATAAAATGCATACATTCCTTCAAGTTGGAACTGATCCCACATAATAAAATAAATAATCATGCCTTTCATGTGATTGTGTTTCTCTGGGTGTGCTTCTTGGTTGTACTAAAAATCAATTTTATATTAGTTATAATTATGTAACTGCTAAGCTAACCCACGCAACTTGTTTTTAGATTATTTCACGACAGTAGAAATGTATAGCAAATAAAATCAAACAAAAATTTTTATTAGGTTGCACCGTGTTTATTCCAACTTTTGGTAGAAGAATTTCCTAAATTTTGTATTGGAGAGCTGATTTTATGTTACTGTGGTCCTGCTTACCAGAAGGAAACTAATGTGTAAACATTCAAAAAGCTGTGTTTTCCCTGGTATAATTCATTTCGTCCTTACTCTTTATTTCTCAAAACATAACATTAACTTTAGCTGTTTTTAATAACCAAATCATTTCATCTATAAAGAAATTAAAATATTCATTCTAATACTATGAATAACTTTTATTAAAGGATTATAGACATTGTTGAATGACTAAAACACATAAGCAAAAGTTAACAGTATCTTCTTTTTTTGCAGTTTTTGACCAGGACTGGGTTTGAACCCGTCACCTCTAGTATATGGGGCTGCTGCCCTACCCCTTTGAACCACAGGCACCACCCCAACACTATCTTCTTATCCAGCGTATCTCAATTCTGAGAGAAAACTCATGATAGTTACAATTTTATTAAGGCAGAGTTAATTCGTATTTTTAACTGTTAGAACTGAGAATTGTAATTTATACATTCTGTGATTCATACCACAAGGTGAAATCTTAATGATTATGTTCATAATTTAAATAAAATCAACTCAAATATTATGTTGGCACAATTTTAAAGGAAGCTACTAAGTCTTTCACTACAGATCTTGTATATAATACGATTGAGTCTATTTTTAGGTAAAATAAATACATATAAAACTCAAATTATTCAAAAGTGTCCTCCACTGAAAAGTAAATCTCCCCTCTAACCCTGTGGCCTACCTAGCTAGCTATGTTTTGCATAAATATGCAATGTTAAGTATTATTTCTGAGTTGTTCTAGAGACAGTCTATCCATATACAGGCATATAAGTATTTACATGTATTTTAACCACAAATTGTCACTAACTATACAGACAGATAATTTCACTTTCTTCACATAGTACCTTTCTCATTCTGAGATGTGGCTATTCTGAAGATGGTCCTAAATTATTCACACAGAGACTCTTTAGTCGATGTGATGGCAGCAGGAAGTTCCACTGTATCAATTTTCATAATGCTTTAGGCCTTTCCTTATGAGCATCTGGGTGTTTTCCAATTATTAACTATTGTAAACAATGTTATTCTATCAATGAATTTCTGTGAGACTAGATTTCTAGATATAGAAACATTAAATGATAAGGAAGGCATTTTTTTATTTTTAAAAAACATTGACCGTTGATCTCTAGGAAATTAATCCTTTATGACTTGAGTTGGAAATACGCTCTTCCCATATGTCATTTGTCCTTTTATTTTTATTTTAAAGTGACATAGTTAAATCACATAGTAGAACTCAAAGATTCTTTATCCTTGAAATGTCCTTCACACTGGGCAATAAATAATTTTAAAAATAATTTCTTTTTTATAGTGCATTTATGTTTTAGTTTTAAATTTTTGAACCATCTTGGATTTATTTTGTTACAACCTTCAAGAGTATGAATATAACTGATTCTAACTACAACTATGCAAACATATAAGTACGTTTATACCTGTAGATGTATATATTATCTCTATAATAATTCAGAAATAATATTTAGCATTGGATTTTTCAGGGGGATATTTGGGTAGCTAGGCCACAGGAGAAGGGAAATTTACTTTTCAAGGTACACATTTTTTGAATAATTTGAGCTTATGTCATGTGTTCGTGTTACAGTTATCTTGCATGGCTACAAAAATATACTGTTGGTGGTTTCAATTGGGATCATGCTAAATTTATAGCTACATTTAGAAGGAATGGACTCGTGATAGTGAGACTTCTTATCTGAGATCCTTTTGTCTATTAACAGCATTTAAATCACTTTATAACAAAGATATTTGCACCAGATTGTTCATTGCAGCTCAATTCATAATTGCCAAGTCATGGAAGAAGCCCAAGTGCCCATCGACCCATAACTGGATTAATAAATTGTGGTATATGTATACCATGGAATATTATGCAGCCTTAAAAGATGGAGACTTTACCTCTTTTACGTTTTACATGGATGGAGCTGGAACATATCCTACTTAGTAAAGTATCTCAAGAATGGAAGGAAAAATATCCCATGTACTCAGTACTATTATGG